CGATAACATCAAATCGTTAAACTTCATCGATTTGTGGACGTTGAAATAAACGAACATAACCGCGACAAAAAAATATGTCGTATTTTTACATCCAAATTGATTTAACTCGTGAATATATGATAGCAGCCTCACACATGCTTTCAAATCGCATAAAAATAAAATAGACGACGAGAAAAAAAAACCAATATTTCAATCCTACAAGCATCTACCAACGTAGCCGTAAAATTACGTAATCCCTCTATCGGCGTAAACGGTATAATTAATACGACTCCCGAAACAGAAATAAATCTCTGCGGAGGAGGAGGAGGAGGTCGCGATGCCACTTCGAAACGTAAAAAAAATTGCCGTCGTCGAAGTCCAAAGTTAGATACAAATACAATGTTGCCAAATTGTTTGGAATTTTCGGAATTACACAAAATTACCCGGAATTACCACTGAAAGTAAGTAGGCAAAGAACAGTGTTGTTAAGTAGTTAACTACAAGTAGTTAAAAATGTAGTTCAACAACTTTTAATGTATTTAAATAACCAAATAACTATATTTGTAAGTCCGGAAACTTAAATACATTTAACTACATTCTTTGTAGTATTTAACTACATGATTTAAATACATTTTAAAATAACTTATTTTTTTTTATTAGGTACCTTAATTGTTATTTACGATCAAAGTATTTATAAATTCCTTTGCCTCTAATGGAAACGAACTTATTTTAAATTAGAGGTAAATGCCCCAATTCGTGAAATTTTGTCATTACAAATTTAGTTATAAATACTTTTAACTACAATTCTGATATATTTAAATACGTAGTTAAATACTTTAGAATAAAATGTATTTAACTACGTATTTAATTACATTTTTTACAAGTAGTTGTAATTGTAGTTAACTACATTGTACAATGTAGTTTTAACAACACTGGCAAAGAAGTATATGACCTACTGTCTTTACAAGTAAGCAAGTAAATGATTATAGATAGTGCTAGAATCAGAGTATGAAAAAAGTAGATGTAAAGTATAGTAAAATATATAGGCTAAAGTAGAGTAAAGTATAGCAAAGTAGAGTAAAGTAGAGTAAAGTAAAGTAGAGTATAGTGAAGTAGATTAAAGCAGAATAAAGTAGAGTAGAGTAAAGCAAAGTAAGAGTAAAGTAGAGTAAAGTAGAATAGTAGAGCAAAGTAAAGTAGTAAAAGAGTAAAGTAAAGAGTACTTAGATCAGAATAGAGTACCTAAATTCAGAGTAGAATAGATACAGAGTAGAGTAGAGTACATTCAGAGAAGAGTAGGTATAGAGTTGCTTCTGAGTATAGAGTAGAGCAAATTCGAAGAAGAGTATAGAATAAATCCAATTATAAACACTTTAATCTAATCCAAATAAAGTACGACTATCAAACGGGTCATTTAAAAGGACCGTTATTAGCAAATCATCTATCCTCGATCCTTATCATTCAGCGATTCTCCCAGTTCGGCCTTCAATAATCCAAACGAGCAGTGTATAGTGTAAATCAGTGATGTTAAAATTACTTTATAATAAGTAATTAATTACAATTACTTTTGGCAAATTGTAATTAATTGCATTTACAATTACAAAATTTGCGAATGTAATTACAATTACAATTAAAGTTACAATTACAATTAAAATTACAATCACAATTACCTACTTGGCTTTGGTGTCAGTTTTAAATAATTATTTAGGGATTTGCAATCGGAATTAAACTTTCCACGTATTGAAAAAATTAAATAAGTACTTTTGTGTCCAATGTAATTGAAATGTAATTGTAAAATGTAATTGTATTTGTAACGAAAGGAGTAATTGCATTACAATTGAGGAGCTTGTAATTAATTACCGCCTCAATTACAATAAAAGTAATTCAATTACTTTTTCAATTACTTGTAATTAATTACTTAACAACACTGAGTGTAAATAAACACATCTCAAACGTCGCAACGCTTTCGACGAACGTCCGACAACAGCGCGCGTCGTTCGTCGACAACCTGTTGTGATCGAAGGGGGCTCCTTTCGACGTCGGCGAAAGGGGAACCCCCCACCGCCCCCGCCGGCGCGCTCTTCGCGTTTCTCCCTCCCCCCCCCTCCCACCTACCCGCACCGTCCGGCCACGTCATATGGTCTCGTCTATCAGCTTCTCCCACGCGTGCTGCACGTCGACGGCGTCATCTGATTACGATGGTTTATGGGCTGACGTCGCGCGGGCTTTTTTTTTTATTTATTTTTTTCGACTTTTTTCGTGCGGATGAGGATCGCTCGCCGGCGTCGCCGTCGCTACCGTCGCGCTGCTGGCTGGATGGGTGGGAGAGCGTCGGCGGGATGCGCGGGGAAGCGGTTTTTCGCCCGGCGGTGCGCGTCGTTTGTTTTTATTAAGATTTATTAATTGCCTGTTGGCGTTTGGTGGTTTTGTTATTTTAGTTTTATTTTTTTTTATCGAAGTCGCCGTTTGGTGATGACAATAAAGACTAATGAAGGTAATTGGTTCCGAGGGGTAATTCGTTCGAAAGGGAGGGCTGAAGATGACAGCGTTATGTATATTGTATTACTGTCCAGCACTGTTTTATCAGCAGATACAAATTCTGGAGAAGAATGTATTTAGATTCCAAGGATGTACAGGATGTTTCTGAAATAAGTGGTCAAACTTTGGGAGCAAGTAGAAAACCTCGCAATATGATAAAAACTTAGATGTCATTTTATCAAAATGTCCCGGGCAGTGTTGTTAAGTAATTAATTACAAGTAATTGAAAAAGTAATTGAATTACTTTTATTGTAATTGAGGCGGTAATTAATTACAAGCTCCTCAATTGTAAATCATTTGTAATTCAATTACTCCTTTCGTTACAATTACATTTTACAATTACATTTCAATTACATTGGACACAAAAGTACTTATTTAATATTTTCAATACGTGGAAACATTAATTCCGATTGCAAATTCCGTAAATAATTATTTAAAACTGACACCAAAGCAAAGTAATTGTGATTGTAATTTTAATTGTAATTGTAATTACATTCGCAAATTTTGTAATTGTAATTGCAATTAATTACAAATTGCCAAAAGTAATTGTAATTAATTACATATTATAAAGTAATTTTAACATCACTGGTCCCGGGTTATCAGTATACAGAGTGTTAAAGATGGATTCTTGAAGAGGTATTTTTATTAATAATGGCATTAATAGTAAAGGTAAAATGTTGAAATTTGCTACAAATACTAAGCAAATGAAATGTCTTACGGCACTATTTAATCGGGTTAAAAAGTTGTCCAGAGGTGGGTTAAAATGGGGAGGTTATGGGGTAATTCTAACCTAAATTTTTTATTTTAATCTTAATTGATTTGTTTTAATAATATGAAGAAATTAAGTTTTTTACATAAAAAAGGTATACTTGTTGATTTTCCGTAATGTGAACCGTTTTCACAAAAAATGACTTAATATTCTGATACATAAAATTTATTAAACTAATATTGTCTAAAATCTAGTAGGTACGAATGAATTTCAAAAAATTTTACATTTCGATAAAATGACATTTAAATTTTTGTCATATTTTGAGGTCCTCTACTTGCTCCCAAATTTTGACCACTTATTTCAGAAACACCCTGTATAGGTAGACACAAAACAATAAGGGATTTGGAAATTTTAAGGTTCACACTTATTAATGACATCTAACAAAGACCTTACCACAGCGGTAAAACTACAGTAAAATGCACTTAGCATTAACAAATTATTTACATCCACTAAATATCGGAACCACATGTGCGATACGTCTGCTCCTAACGTAAACAAACATCCTATTACGGGGCGCTTTTAGGATATTTCTACCAGCTCGTTTCGGCGCTTCGACGACGCCCGTTTTTAGTTTTCATTTAAATTAATAGGCTCGCTAATCGGCGATCGCGTCGACAGTCGACCGAATTTAATTAAAATTCTATTTGCGTCCGGGCCGGTTCGGCTTTGACTTTGACTGTACGCTAGTTATTTAACTTTTAACGCAGACGCCCGTCTCCTTTCTATACATATCTGTCGACTTCCTATGTGTATTAAATGAAGCGTACGCTTTTATCTCGAACAAACAAACAATGTCAATGATACGGAGCCGATCGCCTTATCGAAAGTGGTTATAGTAAACTGTTCCCGGTAACTATTAAAACTGAAACTGTTTGTTGCCGTCGTAAAATGGTTTAGTTGTATGCGTGTATGTAGTCGTGTAAATACGCATAAAATGAATTAGAAAACGTTTGTTTATCGATGTGTTATGTGGGTGGTCAGAATGATTATACTTGTGGAAACACACAACCCTCATTTCGTTGTGCAAAAAAGTTCCTAAATAATTATTCAATAGTACCGAAATATAAATTTATTACACGTCGAATTAAAAGAAAAAACGGTCGATATCTAAAGAAGCTATCAAAAGTGTTAAAATTACGGCTATTATATAACGATGACTCCCGTATTACTTTCGTTTTCGTTATTTATTAAAAACCAGACAATCAATCTACTAACTCCTCACGGAATAATTAATTAAAACGTAATTAATCACTTCCTACAGCTGTTCTCACTCGAGCGGGCGAGCGCTCAGCTCGCATTTTTCCACACTCAAAAGCGATAGAAGTCTCTTGACTCCTGCCTGTTTAATATTAATATTGTCCGACAATCGCTTATAGAAAATTAATCGACCGACATATTTTTTCCATACATTTGAATAAACCGCACATGATGCAAATGGACCGATTGCCACGAAAATTTTCATTCGGTCACCTCAAATTCGACGTATATATACGCATAAATAGAGAAACAACAACAAAACCGATCACAGACAATTATTCCGGACCTCGAACTGTGAACACCCTTTTTCAGCGCCGCTAATTTGAATAAGGGTTCTTGATTGAAAAGGGGTTGGTTTCCTGTCGGTCGATAAAAACTGTCACACCTGTTGAATGTCAAAGCGCGCCCGCTCGACAATCGAACTACTTCGATGACAGAGAACAAATAGAAAACTCACCTGACGTACTCCAACGATAAGCTGATGCAATCTTGGGGATTGAAGATGGTGCGTTCGGTGTCTTCTCCGCGTTCCTCGGGCGATACTTTAGCGGCGATTTGCGGGTACTGTTGATAGTACTGCTTACGCCTCGACATTTCGCGTAGAAATAGTTCCGGTACTAATTTGTAAACGATGTCCTGAAGGGTTTTATCCAATCTGAAATTGAGGATTAGATTTATTATGGGTACCAGTGGCGACAAAATGCTATAATATTATAATATTAACTGAATTAATAGGTATAACTATTGAATCAAGTTATGCAGGGTGTTTCACTGTGGGAAAGTGCAATATTTTAATCCTGTGTAGAGGTCATTCAAGGTATCACAAAAAAACTAACAATAAATACTAAGCTAATAGGGTCTTGTACCCTTTATAATCGAGTTATAGAAATAAAATTGTTTTTGAAATTTATACATTTCTTTCATAACTACTGATCACTTAATTTAATATACATAGGGAATGTTTAATAAGAATGAAAGTATATACTTAAAAAATACTTCTTTTGGTAACGATATAAAATATAGGGCGATCCATTTACAATACAGGGTGTCCCAATGAAAAGTAACCCCTTTAATGAGCTTGTAACTTGTAAACGCATAGTCATAAAAACCTGCGGTTTTCTCATATATGTTTTATTTTATAATAAGTTTTGTTACAGTAATACAGAAATTATGCATTACCAACACAGGGTGTTTTATCAAAATCTCCAGTTTTAAATACACAGTAACCATTTTTTTTAAATGGAACACCTTTTCAAAAATGTCTTGTACATGTTATTGTACAAAAAGATGTCCTATATCATATAATTTAGTTAATGTGAATTTAAAAAAGGCGATTTTTTGAAACACCCTGTACAGGCGATACAAAATTTTTGTGCCACTCTAACAAAAAGTTATAGCAAAATAAAATATATCTGCGAAAACCGCATGTTTTTATGATTAGGCGTTAAAAAATTATTAGCTCACTAAAAGGGCTACTTTTCATTGGGACACCCTGTATATAAAGGAGAAAATGTTACTTTTACGTTTAGACTCATCATGTATGCAGTATTATTAAAATTGAAGAAAAATATTCATTTTGTACACTTTCAGGATATTTGCAATGTTGTCAAACCAGAAATTTATATTTTTGGAAAGCTGAAAACGAACTTATTTCAATTTTTGAATAAAAAACAGGACACTCTGTATAATTGTAACTAATTTTAAAATATGCAACTTAAAAAGATCTACACCTTTTGTAATGAAGTTTAATATCTTCGACAATAACAAATATATTGAGCTTTTCCATATTAATGTGCCACCCTGTATATTTTTTTTAAACAGTAATATACATTTACACACTTACTTACACATTATTTTCTAATATAAAATTATATACACTTTTAGGACAATATTTTCGACCCATAAAAATAAAAAAAATCCAGGTCCACATGGACAAAAATTAACACACCCCGTACATCAAATTTCCTTTTGATAGCTTATAAGGATTCGGTGATATTTTCAATTACACATCGAAAATGGTTCGATATATACTCGACTTTCCCTTCATAATAAAAGAAGGGAGAAAAAGAAAACGTCTGGTTTGCTTGGCAGGCAGTATCTTAAATGCTTAAAAAAGTACAGGGCTAGCTTATAATTTGCGATTCAACTCAAATGGATGATGAACTAATTAACGGCAGATGCCGTCGATTTTACGACCGATTATCCGCGATTAAATAGGAAAGCGTCACCTCGGATGTAATTTTCCCCAGTAATTCCGTTCGTTTGAATTTTACGAAGTTAATAATATTTCGAGAGGCGAATGCTTCGGTACGGCGCAGATAGCACCTACAGCAGTTAAAGTTGATGGGCAATTAGAAAATGTATTTCTTTTCGTCGCTTTAATTGAACATTTTAATGTTTATAGGTAGTTTATTAAATTTTATTGTTGTTAACAAAATCCAATTAGTCCATTCGTCATGTAACTGATGATTGGTTTTAAGACTTTTAAGAGAAAATACACCGGAATAGCAGTACGTTATATTCAGCGATTCGCTTTAAATGCGAAACGAACCAACGTTTTTATTGAAACAAAATTTTATAGGATCCCCTGTGGAAAATTTAATCGCGTATTAGAGTTTCATTAAACTGAAAAACCCTTCAGGAGGGCGTGCAAGACGCCAATGGTCGACCGGCCACGTGGGATTCAGGCCGCCCAACCACCACCAGAACCGGCTTCAGGACTATTTTTCTATACAAAACAACACGAATAAATCAAATCACAAATTACCCAATAAAATACACTCTTGATATCGTATAACATATTTTTCTATCCCCGCATTCAAACCAACACAACCCTTTTTCATCCCTTTATACAAGGCCGGTCTCGGGCCCGATGCCGATCCTGTCCGCAACAATGCTCTCTCGGCGCTTTTCGGGGGCCCACCCTCGCTCGTCATCCGTCTCTGTCTCGGGGCTTCCGGCGGAGATGCCGTCACGTTCGCTCGGGACGCATGCGCACTGGCCGCCTGCACGTCGATAACCGAAGGCCTCGTCTCCAACGAGCATATACTTTGTTTTGATAACGGAGACCGATGACGACGATGACGGCACTTTTTATTTCCTTTATATCGCCCTTTGATTGTCTCTACACCGAAATGGGAGACGGCTTTATATGTAGCCGGGTTTAGGGACGGAAAAAGCTGTTGTACGATCGTCAATACTTATCGAGCGAATCTTTAATTATCTTTAATAATTATCTTTAGCTTGCCTATACCTAATCTATGGAACATACGCTATGTATTGTGAAGTATTGTTTTAAATTGTTGATAACCGTTGGCTTTTAATTTTAATTAAAAATTATATAAACAATTTATGTGCATAAAGGGTATCGGTAGGAATAATAAGAGTGTGATAAAGAAATTGGTATCTTATTATCCTTGTTATGACGCCATCGTACACATGCTAGTGTGTTCTGATTGTTTAGGATAGTTTTAGAATCGTTTAGAACTACTCAAAACCATTTAGAACTGTCCGGAATCTCTTAGAACCATTTTAGAATCGCCTAGGACCATTTAAAACAGTTCAGGACAATTTTAGAATCATTTAGAACTGTCCAAAATTATTTAAAAAATATTCAGGACTATCTGGAATTCTGGAATAAGATGGAAAAGTCCAGAACCATTTAGAACCAATCGAATAGTCTATTTACTCCAGATAATCTCAAACGAATTTGATAATAGCAATAACAGGGAATGTATTCGAAAAAAAACCTGCTCGTGGAATAAAAAACGTTTAGAACCTTTGTAAACCTATAACTAGGACAATTTGAAACAGTTCAGGACTATCTTCATTTAGAGCTACACAAAATCGTTTAGAGCAGATTCAGGACTATTAGAAACGGTCCTGGATGAACAAGAAAAGTCCAGAATCATTTACAATCTTTGCACAACTCTTTAGAATTGTTCCTGTAAGAAAGCAAACGTGGAATTTACCAGCAAAATGTAGTAATTTTAATATAATTTTTCCTATGTTCGTTATAGGTAATTTCATTGCAGGAAACTATAATATAAAAATTTATTAATCTCGACTTATCTCTATTTTTGATATCTGATATTTTCCTGTTTAAGCTAACGAAATCATCATGCGAGTAGGTATAACATTTCACATTACACAACCAAAATATATCGATTTCCATTCCAATATACGCCGGAAAGCCATAAAGAATAATCAAAATTAGTCCATAAAAGAACCTTACGTTTCCATTTTCCCCGGTTATCCTACTTTCGTTTCAGATGTGGCGTTTCAACGTGTTTCCGATCCCTTAGGGAAATCTGAAAACTGCTTTGTTCTCTTGGAGTCCATCATTTCCTAAGTTATGGATTATTCTACGGGATGTTCTGAGAGTCGAATTGTTTGTTCCGTATCGAGGGAGGGATTTTTATGAAAATTTTAAATTTTATATAAAGCAAATGAGGCGATTTAATTGTTGTTGTGAATATAAAGGATTCTAAAGTAAAAAGTGCATTCGATACGTGTCGGTTATTTTATAGCGATTTCGCAGCTGTTTCTAGTTACAATGAACCGGCATTCCTCTTGTATTATAGCATTATAGTACACATTTTTCATTCGTTAAATTACATAGTCGAAACCGCAAGTAAAATAACAAATAAGGGACAGAAATTTCTCTTTACAACTGCTGAAAAACTCCACGACATATGCTTAATGTAGGTTTCTTGAGATCGTTAATAATAAGCACCAAAACCTCATAATCTCATAAAATTGGAGTTGAAGTAAGTATGTTATATTTTTCTACTCTAAGTGAAGTGATAAAATAAGAATATAATGATATATGCCAAAATTGTACTATTACTATGTAATATTATACAACATGTCCGATTTCTTATAATAATTATAAGGAGAAAACAAATCTGTAAATCGTATAAACGTTAGCATTGTCTATTCTTAAAATCGCAATCTTTTCTCAGAACCTACGTATACGCAATACAATTCCGCTGATTAAAAAAAAATACCGTACAAAACGGCAACGACCTTCCAAAGTTTACGCTAGCATAATAAAGGAGTTCAGGACGAATATTTACCTAATAACTTTAATTTTTTAGCATGATGACCTTTTTAAAATCATTCCGCCGGGTAACCCAACCAAATATTTATTCGCATAAAATCGATAGCAAAATAAACTGGCTCATGTAAAATAATGCATTCACTACGGAATTATTTACAGGTAATTTGTAAATGGATTGAATTGAGAGATCAATTTTGATACATATTGAAAGTAAATTTAGTGCAGTGTATTATAGGTATTCGTACAAAAAAATAATGCTCATATCTAGGAATTCGACTATTCGAATAAATAAAAAAATGGTAAAAGACTTTTTAATTTAAGCGTTTGTACCAATCGGCTGGATTTTTTTCCACGCATACCTATATGCATGAATTATTGCGGCAGGCGCACTAAACATAATCGGATATTGGCATCGCAGACGGACACACACACACACACAAATAGTCACAACTTTGAAGTTGACTCTTGAATAATTCATGCCGAATTTCGAGAATACATTAAGAAGTAACCTGACCCCTGGCGTTAATAACGCCAGTAAAGTAGAACCGACAGTGTATTTATTATACTGGCAAAAGAATGGGAATAATGTTGTTATTAAATATTATACCGGGTCGGTCCCGGAGAGAGAGAGATAAAGATGAAGAGATACGGCATTACAACTGAATGTGAACTTGCTCGTGTTTTCAAATTGTTCAGGGCAGTTCTAGAATCATATAGAATTTTTTAAAACCATTTAGAACTGCGCGTAATCGCTTAGAACCCTTTAATAAATAGCTATGACCTTTAAAACAGTTTAGAAACATCTTTGAACCATTTTGAATTGTCCAAAATAATTTAGAACGGATTCAGGGCATTTTGGAACAGTCCAGGACAAATTAGAAAAGTCCGGAACTATTCAAAACGGTTTCAGGACTAGACTTTAGAATTTTTAGAAGACTATTTAGAATGTTTTAACCAGTGTTGTTAAGTAATTAATTACAAGTTGAAAAAGTAATTGAATTACTTTTATTGTAATTGAGACGGTAATTAATTACAAGCTCCTCAATTGTAATTCAATTACTCCTTTCGTTGCAATTACAATTACATTTTACAATTACATTTCAATTACATTGGACACAAAAGTACTTATTTAATATTTTCAATACATGGAAAGTTTAATTTCGATTGCAAATCCCTAAATAATTATTTAAAACTGACACCAAAGCAAAGTAATTGTGAGTGTAATTGTAATTGTAATTACATTCGCAAATTTTGTAATTGTAATTGCAATTAATTACAAATTGCCAAAAGTAATTGTAATTGTAATTAATTACATATTATAAAGTAATTTTAACATCACTGGTTTTAACTAACAAATCGTCCCGTCCAGGCCGACCTGCTATAGCAATTCTAAATCCATAAATCGGTAATTATTATTACCATTATACAGATTGCTTCAATTCAGACCGCAACATGGTCGTTTCTATGAGTTGAACAATGAAAGATTAATAAAATAACAGTTGTCAGAGTGAAAAGTTACAGTCAGAGTTGAAAAGTTACAATGACACAAGTTTTCCAAGTGTCTCTATCGCATCTATAGCCTATATAACCAATGTAGCGATCTGGAATGAAGCACAGTGTAGGTATATTGATCCATTATCGATGAATTCATTGATATTAAAACTGTAATTGCATATTAATCGACCGGACGATATGATTGATAATTAATACTTTCATTTCCCGAGAAATAACACCGGAGGACGAGATCCGCGGAAGAAGCGGCAACGCAGCGCGGCTAACGAATAGAAAACGTGGGAACTGTTAACTTATTGACGGCGAAGAGATGCGAGATGCGAACGAAACGGGCGAAAAGGGAGAGAGAACGGAGAATACGAGAGCAAAACGAACCGAGCCGAGGAGATTCCTGAAGCGATAAAAATACTCGAAAAACTCGGAATCCGGCGTCGTTAGTCGTTACGTTCCTTCGAAAACTTCCTACTTCACTGACGGCCAACTTTTCGAACTTTTACACGGATGACGGAGAGAAGTCCGTCGGGTCGTTATTACTTTTCGTGTTTCCATGCACAAGTTTTGTCTTATGGAGTTCCAGTTACTTTTATATCGAATCGGTTCTGCTAGTATTTGTAATGCAGATCGGAACGTTCGACTTAACTAAACTGCTGGATGAAGTTTTGGGTTTTTTTTACAGTTTCTTTTTGATTCGACGAAAATGCTACGTCTAGAACAAACTCGTCGAGAACATCAATCCCGACCCGGAGCACATTCGGGTGCGCTGCGAGTAATCCAGTAGATATACAAGTGCACGTATGTAAATAAACATGTAAATGCACGGCTTGTTTTTCCATTCTGATTGAATTGTTGTTTCAGTCGTATCGTATTTCCTGGGGAAAAGGTATTGTTGAAAACGTCAATTCATCAATTAAATTTACGATTGGTGGGTGGGTGTGTGTGTGTGTGTGTGTGTGTGTGTGTGTGCGAGTGAGCCAGCTAGTGCATATTATGACTGAACGGCAGAGATTTCAGGTAACGAATTTTAAACGTGTACGAAAAAAATGCAGTGGATTTTTCAAACAATGCAACCGGTTAGGCCATTTTTTTATTTTGAATTAATTGCTCCACATTGAAGGGGGCCAAATTAAAATTTAACCCCCCAATGCATATATCTGCTCAGTCGTCCAGAATTATTTAGAACCATTTTAGAACTCACTACACATTGACCAAGAACTATAATAAGCAATAAACTCCTTTAAAACTGTTAATGATGATACAATCATATCAGGGTGGGAAGAATTAAGACTGGGTATATAGAGGACTATTTCAAACAGTTAAGGACAACCTTAGATCCATTTACAGTACAAAAATATATAGAACGGATTCAAGACTATTTAGAACCGTCCTGGATAAATTCATACATTCATAAATCATAATGGTACATTTAAAAAATCGTAAAATTTAATATTCTATTATATAAAAATATTCTATAAAAATCTTAAAATTGTATCTAAAAGCCTCTAAATGATCTGTTATACAGGATGATTCTCATCATCAATTATAAATTCAAACTTTTCTGCTTGATTCGTTTACACAATAAACGGAATTTGGCCTCTGTATATTTACAGTTTTTTATTCTGATAATCTCCTATATTATGTATCACCCTGTAAACAAATGGCGGCATTTTTCTGAATAGATCAATGTAATTAGTTAATTAATAATGTGATATGTCGACGCTATAACAAGCAAACCCCTCCGAACACACGGAGGTATATAACGCAGTTCGCTAATTATTAATCGACTTAATTACGATAATTGAATGTTTTATAATTGATCGATCGGAAGTTATCGGACCCCCATATATTGCGTATGTACCATACATATGAATGTAGGTACATACATACACGTCGTATTCGTTTGCACGTTCCAACGAAATGAGCTTTTATAAATTTTGCGGTTCGCTGGTCGACCGTTTGATAACGGCGTTCATTAAAGGGAGGCGTTAAGTGCCATTTTAATTGTTAAACAACCGCAGAAAGTGAAATCCACTCATTACAATACGCGCACATTCGAGTGATTTATACGCCGATTTTAACGACAGTAAATTTGTTTTATTCGCGCGTGTGTTCCCGGTGTATATCGGTAAAATATTGTGCGGTGAAAAATACCCGCGAGTATATGCAAATGTAGTAATAATAACTAATTTAATGCACATTCTATCTGATTATGGATTGCATTTCATGCAGGATTATAATGAAATATTTTCTTACACTATCAGCTAATCAAGAACTTGTTAAAAATTGTGTCTAAAGATTAGAATATTTTACTAAAAGTATTTGTTAATTTTTGGAAATGTTTCATCTAAAAAAGGATTTAAATAATCCTGCAATGAAAGCTTTCTAAATGGTTCTGGACTTCTCTATCCTAGAGGACCATTGCAAATTGTCCTGAACCTGTTCTTAACAATTTTGCACAGTTCTGAATGATTCTAAGATGGTCTCAAACTATTTCAACTGGCCCCAGTCAATTCTAAATGATTCTAAAACTGTTTTGAACAACTTAAACTTAATAAAAAAACATTTTCAATTATAACGAGATCTCTCTCTCTCTCTCTGTTGAGCGATATTACAATGGTTAGACACGCTTCCTTTCTCGCACTTATGTAATTCATATATCTATTCTACACTGCTATCGTTGTAGACCGACCCAGTATATACCAAAGGGCAATATGGATGCAATTAGATATGTATCTGTGTCAATTACACACTATTAACACGTCAAGACATTTAACAGTTTACCAAACAACTTTTACGCCTTTTAGATAACTTATTTATGCTACAATCGGTGCGTGTTTTTATCAGATCATGCTTGTTTTAATTGAAAACTAATTCGGTAATTAAAGCAATTAACACATTTTTAGGAACTTATTCAATATTAGGGTGAATTAATTAGACAATTACAATAATTATATAGTTAAGTGTAAATTTGTACGCAATATGCATATACCTACCCAATATGAAGGGGGTGCAACAAAGACAATTTCAATTAGTCTTACAGAAAAAGAGTGGGATTGTGGGACTGTAACTTTCCCACTGTTACTATTTACACCACTGTTATTATAATTATCTTTTTTTGTTTAACTCATATATTTAACCATATTGTAAACAAATTTGCAATCCCCCATATACACTGTATTAAAAAAAATAGTACTACTTACTTCAAATTCGGCTTGGCCTTGTTGATAATAACCTCGCAAATAGGACAGTAGCTGTTTTCTTGAAGGAACTTAATAATGCAACTTCGACAAACTGAAACAGAAAAGATTTAATACAGTCTAGCAATTTTTAATCGCAATGAACCCGTTAAAATTTTTATTTGCAACACAACATAATGAATTATTTTGCAGAAAGCGTGTGCAAATTCATTTCCAATTACTACTCAATTCGATACGACTTTCTTTGTTCTTTTATCCATCAAAATGTCACGATAAAAATTATTTTTCTATTGTTCACCGGCCGCATTTGTTGGGTTTGGCATTTCAACTCGGATAGAATCCACATCGCGATATTTCGTAAACATTTAAAGTGTAAGTCAATAAAACTGTTTAAGGTAACGAGTATACGTACATAGATATTTGAACTCGTACAACAAATTCGTATATGTTCTAATTAAAATAAAATAAAAAAAACCCATTTTATAGCTGTTGATTGCACCACCGCAAAAATTCTAAAACGCTTCACGATCGGAAAAGAATGCGGCTCGATAGAATCCCACCGATTCACGTCGAATCTTTCCAAAAAGCGTGAAATCACGATAGCTCGACTCGAAATCCCGTGCTAAACACACTGTAGATTGTAATTTCAAATAGACAGATTCAGATAATTAATTGATATGTGGTATAATAAAAGAGTGGCAATCAATTATTTATAATTAAAAAAATACTGTAGGTATCTATTGTTGGTGCAAAACAAATATCAATGCATGTCACTACTATAGTCATTTTTTGCCAAGTATTGTGACCAACTTTTAAAATTAAATACACAATTAAGATTAAGTAGATTAATCTTAATACCTGTAGAATTTAATTTAATATTAACAAGTTATGATAGAAAATGTTAAAAAGCTAAATTAAATCATCAAAAAAATTATATATTTTCAAAATTCAACGTTTCAACGTTAAAAAATTATTATTTTTTTTATAGTAGGTTGGTATGCACTGACTGTCAAGTTGCAAGTCATTCGATCGGTACTTTTAATTTTCAATTTCTTTTTCTATTTTCTAGTTTTTTCTTGCCTCAACTACTAAAGGCTATTCGGCCGAATAATCAAGAAATATGAATTTTTGGCGTAGTTATCTTTTCCAGATGTTAGATATGACACAATTTGAGCTCTAAATAATTCATATTCAGAGGTTTTCTCAGAAATTTCACTATGTACTCTTTTAAGGGTCAATTGTAGAGTAAATTTTTTTACTGGCACTGATAAAATATATTTTAGATGACAAAGGAATTGATGATTAATTATAGTGACGCCCTGAATACAAAGCCAACGTTTAGAAACGTGAAAGGTGTACCTAATTTTAAATTTGTTTTTGTCATTTTGCCATTTGACAATTTTAGAAAATTCTTAGATTTTGTAAACTCTATAAAAGTTCGGCAACACTGCCTACTTGTGACGTAGTAAATAATAGGTGACGTGCATAGATATTTATTTTGCACCGACTGTACCTAAGGAATATATTAATTTGAAATATCTACGGCCCAATTAATTTTGTGTACCTATATCTATGTATAAATTATCGTCTGTATTTTTTAGTGTTAATGCACCTAAACATCGAATTATAAATAAATATAAATATACTCACATGAGTGTAAACACTCCGATATAGTCGTCGCGTCTATTAAATATCCCTTGCAGAGATAACACGTCAGATACGAGTTTATCTCCGCCAGTTTTATCTTCTCCGGCCTTTTTATGGGGTCCTCCATGCTGCTGATAATACCTGAAAACAGAAATAAAAGCGGCGTTAAGACTCGGGTTTCTTTAATAACCTATCCAAAAAAAATATTTTTAATTAAATATGAATTCCACCAACATGGTAAAATAGATAAATAATAAGCATTTAATTTATATTTAACCCGGAGGAATGGATATGTACCATGGTAAAAGTTTAACAGCGACCCATATATTCTTATTCCAAACGATATACCGGCCAATTACTACAATAATATAATTACAGTTGGTTTATTAAAGCTTCCGCATATTGGCAGCAAGTCGTGAGAAGTGTTAATTCACGCTTCGTCTAAGAAAACGCTCATAAAATAACAGTTTATTTTATTATACAACTCCGTGTAGTTTCTGCGGATATCCAATCCTCTTTTATGCAATAACCGACGACTGCGTCTGCTAAGCCATCCACTTTTTTCTCTGCCTAACCGGCTAATTATATTCCTCTTACATCGTCTTTTCATTATTCGCTTAGGTACTTATAATACATACTAGGTTTTATTTCATTTCGATTGTTCCATCGGGTAATAACTTGGCTCTTCGCCCGTGTTCCCCCCTATTTAACAGATTGTTTCAGTACGCATCGCCACCTAGCGAGTACATTTGCGTTAATGAACATTCCAGCTGGGGGGCGAGCTGGATTTATGGGCTTTTGGTGGTGTGTGAAAAAGGAATTAGAAACGGCGGGTTCGTTACGATGCGAAACAACCGTTCTTCTTTTGTGTATGCGCGTGAATCCCTTTATTTCGTGCGCTTAAGAAGGCTCTTTTAAAAGATATCTTGAGGGGTTATTTACTTAGATGTCAAGTATGTATATGAAAAATGTTTATACCGAGTCAGTTCGTAGCAATATGGCTATATACTAACTAGGCCATAGGATTAATGCGAGTGCGAGAAAGAGAGTAGATTTAATAGTTGTTTACTCGAAGTGTTTACTTTCTCGTATTTTAAAATTGTTTAGGGCAGTTTTAGAATTATTTAGGACTGTTTCAGAACAAATTAGAACTGTCCGGAATCATGTAGAACCATTTTAGAATCGACCAGGACCAATTGAAACAATTCAGGACCAGGACGATCTTAGAATCATTTCAAGACTTTTGGAATGGTCCAGGATAAACTAGAAAAATCTGGAATCATTTAGAACTGTATAAAATCAGAACAGATTCAGGAACGGTCCAGGAAGAACCAGAAAAGTATATGAGTATATTATACACTTTTTAAACTTTTTTGTAAATTTTAGAAGACTATTTACAATTTTTTTTTACCTAAAAGTCGACTCGGTAAAGGAACTTATGCTTTTTGCTTATTAACTAAAACATTGCATCTACTTCGGTGTAATTACATTACGGGGATAACGGCCGAAAAACGACGAAATAAAATCGCAACGGAGTTTCGTAAACGGTCCGGGCGCTTCTGAGGAGGGAAATTATTTCATTTCGCAGTTTCTGGTCCGCGACGAGGCCGTATCAACGACGCGGAAACGCGTTTTTACGTCGCAATAAATTTTGACGATGATAAATGACGGCCTTTTTTTTATTCTGTTTTCATTGTTTTTGTCCTCCGCCGGTCTAACCCAAAGAATACGGTCCCCCGGCGTCTTAAATGGTACAATGTTTGTATACAAGCGATGGATAAATGGAGTTATAATAATCGTGCAAACAGTTACAGAGTAAACAGAAAATTACTTGCCGGCTAATTAACCTAAGCCAGTCAATTGGCCCGATTAAAAAAACATTTTTATTTTAAGTAGGTGAATTATGTACAGTGATAATGCCCTAACTTCCAAACATAAACACCGCATAAAACAAATTTTTTAACAGTAAAAAATCCGTTTATCATCAATTTTCATCGTACGATAGCGGCAAGATCGCGGGCAAAATTCAATATACCATTTCATTGTAAACAGGAGCCAGTCACATTGCCGTCGGTTTCTTAATTGCACAACCGAGCTGAATATATTCGTAGAAATTTATTCAATGCGGTTAATACACTGTAAACACGGATAAGCTTTGTCAGTTTATAACGTTGATATTTAACATCAACGCGCGTTGTTTCATTGTTCCTATAAGCTGGATATGAGGCAAAAAAAAAGTTTCTGATACAAAGTCCGTTTTAAACAATATTTCATTGCATACCTACAATGATTACTCGTTTATTTTATGTATATAGGTATCATGTATGAGATATAAAAATACTAAATATCTACACATCATTTTACATATCTCTAATGAAATATTTATACATACATACTTCTATATTTCTAATTAAAATAATTTTAAAACCCTATCCAACACTAATCTACTCATCTACTCTACTCTGATCTACTCTACACTATTCTGCTATAAACTACTTTGATCTACTCTGCACTAGTCTACAGTATTCTACAGTCCTTACTCTGATCCAGTGTTGTTAAGTAATTAATTACAAGTAATTGAAAAAGTAATTAAATTACTTTTATTGTAATTGAGGCGGTAATTAATTACAAGATCCTCAATTGTAATTCAATTACTCCTTTCGTTACAATTACAATTACATTTCAATTACATTGGACACAAAAATACTTATTTAATATTTTCAATACGTGGAAAGTGTAATTCCGATTGCAAATCCCTAAATAATTATTTAAAACTGACACCAAAGCAAAGTAATTGTGATCGTAATTGTAATTGTAACTTTAATTGTAATTGTAATTACATTCGCAAATTTTGTAATTGTAATTGCAATTAATTACAATTTGCCAAAAGTAATTGTAATTGTAATTAATTACATATTATAAAGTAATTTTAACATCACTGCTCTGATCTACTCTACACTGTATATCCACTACTAACTTTACAATATTTTACTACGATCTACTCTAACATTACTCTACACTCTACACTATTCTACTCTCATGTTCTCTATACTAATCTACACTATACCCTAATATATTCTACTTCTAAACTTCCAAATAAAATAACTGTAAAACGGCCAAGACACATGAAAATATGGCTTCAAAAAACTTGGCAATTCGATTAAAGTTTTTGGCATTATTAGCGGGCCTTTGGAAGCCGCGACGTCTACATGTTTATTCGCGTCCCTTTAATAATCCGTCAGTTGCTTTCGCATCGGTTCGTCGCATAATCGGGACGAAAACCTGACGTTCATCCGGTTATTCCCACAATCAATAACGCAAAGAACCAAATCGCACGGCGACGCCACACGATTCTCCAACGAAAAAAAAAAAACCTAATCATAATGACATTCTCGTTATTTTCCCAATCATCCGAAAAGCGCGATAGATTGATTTCGATGCGTCAGCGCACAAGCTCACGAATTTCAGAACTCGCCTATTTAGTCTACACAATTCTGATGCTCTACTCTGAATTTAATCTAAACTAATCTACTCTGAATCTACTCTACTCTACTCTACTCTACTCTACTCTACTCTACTCTACTCTACTCTACTCTACTCTACTCTACTCTACTTGACTCAACTCTACTCGACTCTACTCGACTCTACTCGACTCTACTCGACTCTACTCGACTCTATTTGACTCTACTCGACTCGACTCGCTTGTGGAAGCGATTAGGCGGGATTAAAATGACTTCGGGGGGCTTATTTTTCTTCCGGTAAAGACGATTGTTGCCGAATTTAAAAACCGGTATGCAAATAGACGGTTGTCGCATTAGAAAGGAACAATGGCGAGCGCTTTAAAATTCTTCGAGCGATCAAAATGTGTCCATGCCGGTCTGCATTCCTATCGCGTTTATATCGCGGCTATATAATATGCAATTTAACTCTCTAATCTACCGGACATTTTCTATTAATTGATATAAACACTGACATCTCGATAAATGTTTGATAATATTATCGAATTATCGAGTGGTAATTACAAAAAAATATATATTTAGTCGTAAGACTAGGGATGATTGATTTTGATGTTGGTAATAATAAATTATTCTGTAAATATTTTTTATTTTATTTAATAGAAAATTGTTATAAATACTATTAAAATGACATATAAACGTAGGATTTAAAATACACATCCCAGTTGCCAATTTTTTTATTATTAATTTCCTCGGGGGATAATGTGCCGATAAAAAGTTAAATTGAATAGTACTAAAGGCGAAATTAAATATCCTTGATTACTTAGTTTAAAAAAGGAATAAAATAGTAGAAAAACGTAAGTGCAACTTCGAGGTTGACTGTAGGAGTTGGGAAGAAAGATTGATTTACTAGATCAATTCGATTTAAAGTAGCATTTGATTTACGATTGAAATTCCATCTGAGCTGTTTAAACGATGTTATTTCGCCCTTGCGAAAAATGGCTTTACTTCGACAAAGGGATAAAACGAATTTTCCCGTCCGATTTCGCTGTACTAATTTGGTATCGGGATAATGTTATCAATCTATTTACTTTAGGAGGTTAATTACCTATAGGTACCTACTTCCTTTGAATAAAGGGTTTAAATACCTTTTAACTAAAAGGTTTAAATAAAAAATAGCAAGTATATAATTAAATTGATCCGTTATTTTAAAAGAAGTATTTTTTTTCAATTTTTGTAGAGGTCCTTTCAGGATCAACGAATGTTTTTCTGCTTACGTAGAATATCTACAGAGAAATTATTTATATATACTAACTTCCGCTGTAAGATAACTTAAACAAACATAAATACCAATACTGTAACAAGATACAAAGTTCGCTAAGTTAGTACCTAAGTACAAACTATATATCAAATTCACCTCGTACAGTTTGGCACTTTAAATTATTAATTTGTTGATAAATCAAAAATCGATTGTCCTGCTCTAGCGAAGCATCGATTGCATACGACAGCAGAGAAATCAGTCACCACAACAATGTAAATATCCTACTCGTATTATGCGGTATGGACAGGTTATTGAATTATTTAAGATGCTATATAAATATAAAAAAACAAGAAGCTATTTTGTACATAAACTTTATCCTGTAGATAAGTTTGACTTAAATATATTTTGCAATTTAGATCTAAACA